GAGCTGAGTTAATCCTTGGCGTTTTGAGATGCATGACCATGTTCAGGTCTTGTATGCATGTCTACAGATATCGTTCGACTGTAGCACCCTTTCGGTGCCTAACTGCCATGCCACCCGAAGGTTGCACGAGGGCTGGGATACTGTCAGTTTGCTCAAGCCTAGACAGGGGAAGTCGAGAGGGACAAGGGTCGGGTTCGAACGACGGACCTTCTGATTAGTAAATTCGCGCTATAACCACTTGGGTTGTCTCGCCCCTACAGATATACCATATATAGATTTTATGGGAGTGTAAGGTCTCGGCGAGCATCGCTTGCTTGTCAGTTTGACATGGAGTACGGGCGTTGAAACGTTGAAATGACCTCGTGGATTTAGCAAGGTGATATTTTGTTTAGTGTCAACGGGTAACAGATAGCAATAATCAAATGACCTGGCAACGTTTGCTTGCGTGGTTAGAGACACCGGTGGACAGATTGTGCGGTCCAATGATACTACCCGGTTGCCTTGGCCGAGGGAGATGGTTTTATCAAGATACCAACCTTGAGCTTTTGGCACAAAAGTCCGACCCACAAAGCAATGAAAGGATGCAGGGTTTTGTTCGGCGACCCTATCCCTAGCCTTTGACCCAAACGTGACCTGGGAGGCAGCAGCCAGCGGGGTTTTCATCGGGGAGCCGGCGACCCAACAGTTTGACGTGTTCGGCTGCAGGGGGCTGGTCAAGCCCGAAGGCGCAGGGTTTGGGAGGGAGTGAGGGAGATACGCAGTGAATGCGATAGTGCCGGCGCATGATCCCCATTGGTTTAGTGATATAGCCATATATGTCAGGGTTACGAACTACTGGTTTGTCCCGTCTCTGAATCCCCATCCCGGGAGGCGACAATTACCAACGCCCCTAAGTGGCATGACAAGAACTCTCACGATCCTCTGACAGCACAGTTCAGCTTATTAGCTATGAACCATATACATAGGGTACGTTGGTTGAAGCTGCTACAGTTGTGATAACCGGGAAAAGGGGGAGCCTGGAATATACCGAAGCATCGGAGGTGATGGCATGATCGGTCAGTTCGTGAAACTTGGAAGTTGCGCACTGAATGCAATCGCTTCCGTGCAGGAGCGTCACTGGCTGCGTGATTAACCAATGGTGGATCACGTCTCGGAGTTTCTATCCAACGAGGATGCAGTTGTCATAGCATTCTCAATTAGAAAATTGATTCCATCATTTTCCAGTTCACCGGGCTATTATGCAAGTTCCATGATAGACGAACTTATCTGCTACATCGATTGGTTCACATACAAGCATGATGTTTGGGTTTGTTCCCACTCAACATTGCAGTAGCAATGTTAAGCGCATGGGGAGCAGTACTTAAAGTACGTAAGCGCAATCCCCAAAAGTATTTCGACCTCCAGGTAATGAGGGCGGCACAAGCAGACCAAGCAAGTACGAAGCGTGCAGCTAGAGCACCATTTCGGTGCCTATCTGACGTGCTACCAAAAGAAAGCACCAGGACTGAGGTACCAGCAGGTTGTCCAAGCTCAGACGGGAGAAGTCGAGATGCTGGGGTTATGTTTAAACCACAGACCCTCCGATCATTGAGGTCACGTCTTCACCATTGAGCCAGCCACACATCAGTTGTGAAGTTACTTAGAAAGGGTGGCAGAGAACAACCTTGCCAGACGCCACTGGATCTCAGGAGAAAATTTGCCGTAGACACGTACGCGTCCACAAGAGGAGGCTTCCAAAACTTTTAAAAGATACAAGAATTTAGAGTGAACACACTGACACACTATCACACCGGTAAAGTCTCCCAGGACCAGAGCAGTTAAGAGCAGATTTGAACTCGAGAAAGCCCATTGTTGGTCACTCGAAATGGTAGCGCAGTTCCAGCAC